CTACGACTGAATGTCAGTTGAGAGTCAGTCTCATGCAAACTGACCAATGAAGAGAGGGCCTCAAGTTAAGACCCTCTCCTCATTGGTCAGTCCACACGAGGTGGGTCAAAGGTTACTCTGGGCGGGTTACGTGTTGTCAGGCATTCAAGTATTGAGTATATTTACTGCATATTACAGTAAAATATTCTGTATGTGACCACATTATGGTGATCCTCTGGTCGTGATGATGGAGCCCTTGAATATTGTTGCCCAGGGTACAACAAAGTGTTAATCTGGCCCTGGTTCCGCCGTCACATTCCCGCAGAAACTGGTGGATCACACCGGGGCCAGACTACTAGCATGTGGTTTTACAACCACAATGTCCTCAGAAGCAAAAACGCTTTTAAAAGGGAGGGAGGAGTCCTAACTGTTGCTGCAGGCGTGTTGTGTGAGAGTGCAGTTATATACTGGTTAATATATTTTTGGGTTCAGTTGCTTTCATGTGGCCTAATGTGAGTCTATTTGGGATCATTGGAATGATCAGCAGCATTTCTTGATGTGACTTTATGGCAGTTGCCCAGGGCATCATCACAAGGAGGATGGCATTCATTTACTTTTGTTTTATTTGGTATTTTTTCAGTCATTTTTGGAAATAGTGATCAATTTTGATTAATTCACAGCCTATGTTTAGTTACATTTAAAAATTAGTTGTTTGACATCCCCAGTTATAATAAATGTCAACAGATGAGATCAAACAAAACAGATGAGAATTGCCCTTAAGCTGTTTAACTTGGACCAAGCATTTTAGGTCACAGATAGGTGTAGCTTAGGGTCTCTGTCTATACACCTTATAAGACAATTTAGGTGATGGCATGTTGTTTTTCTGCTATTGAACTGTTTTCTAATAATGTTGTGTTAAATAAAGTGAAGGAAGGAGAGAAATAACGTTTCCCTAGCAGTTTTTAAAAATTTCCCCATGTAATCCGATTAATCGTGTCGAGACCCCATCCGATTAATCGATTTTCCAAATAATCGTTTGTTGCAGCCCTGATATATATATATATATATATATATATATATATATATATATAAAATACACTTATTAAATAATCTTCCAATAGTTGGCACCGTTCAGCCCACACTCAAACCCAGCTGGAGGTTATACCCTACAGTATATACTCAACAACAGGAGGAAAACATTATTTAAAGGGAAATTATTAAACGATCTTAGGAAGCAGGCTGAGGTAGCAAATTCAAAGTGCAATATTAAAAGTGCAAATCATTAAAAAAAGTATAATATTTCAGTTAAGTCCCTTTTCAGTTTCTCTGAATGAACAATAGGCGCTTTCCAACTGTAGGAACCTTTTTTAGTTCCTAGAACCTTTCCAGGAACCAGCCCCATTTTGCGCGCGTTCGGACAGATAGGAACTAGGAACCTTTTCCCGTGGTTCCTAGAATCATTTCAGCTCCTACTCTGAGGCTGGGACTTTCTGTGGTTCCTATGGAACTAACGTGACGTCAGCGCTCGAAGAGCTCTGCCCCTTGCTTGATTTCCGCATCTTTTCTGTTCCGAATCGTGTTTGTTCATCTAGAAACAGACTGGACTGCATCCCGGATACTCCTGGTGCCACCAGCTCACCTCGCCCAAACCCAACAGGTAAAGAAAACGGTCTTAATGCATTTACACGTTTCGTCTCTGAGCGAAAATCGCCGATAGCGATTGTGTGTTTGTACCAAATGAATATGTAACCATTTAGCTTCCTGTTTGGTGAATTTCTGCTTTGTTCTTGTGTTCGTGCACGCGTGAACCACGTGCACGAACACAAACAACGCAAACTCACGTGCAGTTAAATGTCTTACATTAAATATGTTGTGTGCATTAATGTTCTGATATAAGCAGTACAGAGATGCTATCATCTATAGTATGTTATCATGGTTGGCTTGTTAGTGGTTTATAATTTATCACTGAGTCAGTAAGTTAGTTTAGGACATGGTGTGAATGATAAAGGTGTTTTTATAACTTGTTTTATTCTGAAATGTTTATCCATCCAGCTGCTACACCAGAGCCAGCGTCTGCAGAGGCATCAGCTTCTTCCAGCCTCTGCCCCCTACACCAGGTACAGAACCGTCATATATGTAAATGTGTAATCTCTTGGTCATCAAATGGTTTAATTCTAAAACATTTAATCCTTCAGCGTCTACATTGCACCTACAACCTACTACCTTCCAGCAGCCCTGCCACCCCAGACCTGGTACACACATCTCATTCCACAGAATTAGAATATAGTGTATTATATGGCTCTTGTGTGTTAATTCTATCTCCACCCTCCAGGTTTTTTTTCTTTCTAGGAAGGAGAAAGGGGGGCAACGCATGTCTGGCTACTGAGCAGGAGGTGCTCGGGTCAGAGGCTGAACAGGAGGCAGAGAGATGGACGGTTTGAGACCATGATGCAGTTCTTCTGTGAGCTGACAGAGAGGGAGTCTAAAGAACATCCAGCTCAGGAGGAGCCAGCCACAAGCAGAAGCTCATGGAGGGTCTCTAGTCTGCAGTGAACACGTTAGCTTATCATGCAAGTTATTTTTACACTGAAA